AAATAATAATAACAATTTTAGTACTTAAATATGTTAGGTTGTCAAAAAAGTCTTGCGGTATTTTATTTTTATTTTTATTTTATAACGGTTTGATGACTCATGCCCAGCTCTTGACCGATGCTACGGCTGCTACTATGCCGGTCTCTTTCGACCAATTCAGCGATTTTATCGCAATTTTCGCCGACAGGCCTTCCGGAGCGTGGCACATCTTCGACCACTTCTACACCAGAACGAAAACGTTGAAACCATCGTTGTGCGGTGGAAATGGAAACTATATCGGGTCCATAAACTGCACAAATTTAATTGGCGGCTTGAGATGCATTTTTGCCTTTATCGTAGTAGTACTGTAAAATATGCCTTATTTTCTTTTTATTTTGCTCATGAACGACTTAAAAGAAACGACAATCAATCAAACACGTGTTAGCGCATGAAATGAGCTTTCCAAAAAGGTATAGCATGACCCGATCCGACGAATAAAACTAGAACTACGCGCTCTCAGCGCCAGCTAGCGAAAATACCACAGGACTTTTTTGACAAACTAATATATAAAAATATTGTAGTACTACAATAATTAAAGAATTTGTATATTTTATTTCAATAAAAAAATTATATATAATAAATTACATATTTTCGGTACTAAACTTAAAAAAAGGTAAATTTTGTTTGTTTACTGAAAACATAGAAATTAATAATTCGTCATTTTAAGATGGTTATTTGAAACTGAAATTCAGTAACACATACTATGGCTTGAGTGAGTACTAAAAATGTGTACTAAATTAAAAAAAAAAAGAATATAAAGTTTAAAATGAAATATATATTATAGAAAAGAATTTGGTAAAATTTAGCTCTTAATTTTAAATGTTTTTAGCACTAAATTTACAAATTATATAAATATATTACAAAAAATTTTGACAAAATTTAGCTTTTTTTTAAAATATTTTTTCTTTCTAATGTAATAATTAATTTTAGCGATTTCTTTAATGTTACTTTTTCAATATATTTTTTAGAATAACATCTGCATATATTGCCCACTGTGCCATATAAAGCCAACTCTTTATTTTTCGTAACCGATTGCAGTCTCAATACAACTCCCCGCTCTTGCCTCCATTTCCCTGGCGCCTGTGCCACTTTCTATGCCTCTCCTTTACGCTCATAGCACGATTTTATACGTGTGAGTTGGCCACTGCTTGACACATTTGAAGCGCTGCTTTGACCCCCGGTTGTTGTTTGGCCTCTTTACCTGTGTCGAGTGTCGAATGTTGGCCCTTTCAATTGACCAACAACCAGTTAAGTGCCTGACGGCGATTTGTGTGTATAAAGTGTGAGAGGGGTAAA